GGTGCCCCGGCTACCCAGGCGGATGCCCTCCGCGTACAGGCTGACGCCAGCGTCTTGCTCCTGCAGAGTCTTGCGGGGCGCTTAGTGCTAGAAGCTGGCGGCCTGCTAACGTGTTTTGGCCTTTGTTTCGTTCCGTTATCCCCTAAAGGAAGAATGCCAGCTGTGGGACAAGAAGCGCAGGCCGTGCCACCTCCACAGGTACTGGTGGGATGTGGCGATTCTACACTGAGGACTCTCCAGGTCTCAAAGTGTAAGTTGGGTATATGGGTGGTGGCAGGCATGGGGGCTGTGTGTTTCACCTATTTATGTAACCTTTCAGTCTTTTAATCGAGAGGTCGGTGTTCTGGTCTGCATGGGAGAACATGCTGAATCGATGGCTGCTTAGGTAGATTGGGGATGAAGTATTTTATTTAATCTGCAAACCCAGAGAGGTAGTTTTTAAAGTTATGGCAGCTTTAAAAAGGCAGGTGCGAGTTATATTTTGTAATTGTCTAGACTTACCTTAAGTGGTCTTTGAAGACTGCAAGCAATCCCTCGTGAAATGGGGAAAGATTACCTGTCACAGTGAATTTAGGCATGTACGTGCATGTTTTTGTTCTCTCTTAATTAAAACTTCTTTTTTTTCTTCATTAATAGGTATGTTGTGATTCTGTGCCCCCCCAACCCCCCGAAAACATAATGTAACTGATAAGCCATGTGCTTGCAGAATCTGAGGTGTTTTTGTTAAAAAGCTGAGGATGACTTATGTTAGCTAAGCTTGCAAAACTAATAGCATTCCGATACCTTGTAGGTTTCTCTTTTTACAAGGTGAATATTCCAAGATTATGGTCAAATATCTGGTGGTAGTGTCCCTTAAGCTATAAAGAGAACCAAAGTTTTTACTTTTTGGCCAATTTGAGTCATTCAGATCCATTTCCCAAACAAGCTTTGCAGTCTAATACTTGGCTAACAAAAGTTGAAGGTGTATTTCGGCTGATGAGTGTGTGCTAAGTCATACCCTGAGTGGGAGTCTGTGCTTCTTGTAGAGTTACGCTTCATGTCTTCTTTTTCTCACTGGCTTGAAGAGACTCAAGACAGTCCCTGTTGTTTCTTTTTTCTAGAATCCATTACTTTGGAGCCCTTTAAGAGTGCTGCTGCTGGCTGAACAAACAGGACTTTTGGGGATGGGCTGATGATAGTTTAGTTAGTGATTGTTCTACAAGTAATCTTTCTTCTGAAGTTGTTTTACGTGTTTTCATTTTCACGTGTGCTTGACACTTTAAAAGATAAAAACCACCAAAGTAGTGGTGGTTCTGCAGGTCTCACTTTCTCCATTCTGAATCCAAAGAGGATACAAGGCAAAGAAAAGAAAAAGACAGTGAGCAACAGTAGTGTTCTAGAGCAAATCCATGCAGATAGGCAAAAGGCAACTATTTTCTGTGTTGTTTAGTCTACTAAAGCTCAATTAAAAGAATTAATAAAACCAAACAGAAAAAACAAAGTGTTCTACCATTAGGTAGATTTTTTTTTTTTCAGTAGACTTGTCATACAAGCTATCAAAGCAGCTTTAGCAATTTCAGTAAGTTTCCTTCTGAATCCTTTGGTTTCACTTTTGATATTGAATGGCCACGCAGTTGTTCTAATCTTCAATACAAGCAGGTTGGTAGATAGATTTTCCTGTTTATTTATGTTGCAATACAGTGGTTCCAAATTTTAAGGTTTTGGAACACTGGGAGTGGCTTTTTTTGCAAGCTACCGTGGGTAGCTCTATGGTCAGGCTTTTTAATGGAAGAAACAAATCTGTAAAAGTGAGTTGGCTTTACAAATCACCTGCACGCTACATGTAACATTTTCTGAACCATGGCTTGGGAGTAGCTTTCTTGTTTACAGCTTTCCATGTATTTTTCTACATATGTTGTGATCTCTGTCCTATTCAGTAGGCTTAAGAATGAAAATGGGTTATAGAGGGTTTGCGGTTGCCTCAGTAAAGTGCTCAGTGAAGTTGTTTTTTAAAAATGGTTGTGATCACTACTGCATAAAGCAGTGTGAAAACTTAGCCTGGTGGGGGGTGGGGTTTTTTGTGTGTTTTCTTATGTTGTTTAAAATACAAGCTCTTAAAATTACTATGAAAAAATACATAAAACCACTTGAGAACAGGTTGTTTCATGCTAGTTATGATCAGAATTCCACTCTAGATCAAAGATTTTATATTTTTTATTGTGCATAATTATACCTCTGATGCATCAGGTATTTAGTATCTGTACTCAACATCAGAAATAATATGTTGAATAAGCAAGTTTGGTTCACCTCAGGAAAGTACATTTATCTAAAATACAGGATGCTACAAAATATATATGTCTTTAAGAACAATATTAGCAAAAGGGAGCTGGGGGGGATCTGGCTGAGAGTGGGATATGACATTTTTCCTCTTTAAAACTCAGATCAAGCATCTCATACTTTGAAAAGAGAACTAAACCCAAATTTGTTGCTCTTTCGGTGGCGCTTGGTACCTGTGGTTCCTACATCTTGTCTTGAGCTTTCTTGCTTAAAGAGCTATAGGCAGTGTTTCCTGTGGAGCCATGATAGAGAGTCAATTTTGGCTTATGGTGTAATATGCAGCCTTATGAAAGACATTCTGAGAATGCACAGCACCAAATATTTAGAGGTGCCTGAATTGTTTTATTTATTTTATTTTTTATTTATTCAAACTGCGTGGTGGGCTGGAAAGATTCAGGTGTATGGAGAAGTGCAGGGTTTCAGCAAGTTGTCTTTGGGACTGGAGGAAATGAGATATACGTGTCAGTATTGGAAAGCTGATTATTCTCCAGGGGGATCAATGTCATCTGCGTGTTTAAAAAAAAAAAAAAACAAACAAAAAAACCAAACCAAAACAAAAAAAACCCCCCAAAAACCCAAAAAACCCTACACCACATACAAACAGACTCCCTTGTATTCCCGTGTGCCTTTGGCAAAGAGTAGCTTAGATATTACTACTACTAAAGGCTCAAATTAATTAAATAGTAATTCAGGTAGAGTGTAAGGGCTTTGTGCACCTGGTTTCATTACTATTTACATTATGTAGGACATAAACTTCAGATATGTGTAACACACTGGGGATTAAGAAGTACATTCTGTTGCTTAGTGAAAGATGTCCCTTGATAGGCATTGCTTATGTAGTCACTGGGTGTGTGGACTTTTTTCTATTTTGCATGTTTTGTCATTGGTTTGTTTGCTAAATGCTTCATGTCTGTGTTCAGGGTTCTCCATATCCAAATTAAGTCTAAGCATGATGGATAATGATTCAGTTTTAAAACTCAGTGTAAGATTATAGTTATGAACATTTGAAGTACATGGACCATGACATCATGGAAAAACATGTTAGTAAACTGTTTCAATCCATTTTCAGTTTCTTTTTTACTGTGTATTCAAGTAACATTTGCCTGCTTATAAACAGTAGCCTGGAGGGTAATCCATGCTGAATAATAGAATTCATGGTGTTTCTCCCTATAGCAGGTTGAAAATCAGAAATGAGATTGTATGAAGTGCGTGGTATGAAGCAGTGTTGAGTGCATGTAATAGTGCGTGTATTTGTTGTGTCTCAGAAC